GCAACTTCAGCTACGCGAATAGCGTAGCTGAAGTCGAAGTATCTTGGATCGAATTACCTGGGGTCCAGACGGCGCGGGATCGACGGCCGCGGCTCCCCCGTCGACTGCACTACCGCCGCTCGCTCTGGTGGAGTTCCGGAGTCTCTTAACGAGACGCGATATATCGATCCTGGATAAATCGATTGCTACCCGCCGTTACGGCGGGTAGTGAAGACGTACCCTCAGTCACAGCCACTAGGCCTTGCTGTCAGATAATCAATAATATTGGGCTCTTGTGGGGGGACAGCGAGTGGGGGCTCTGACTGCCGCTGTAGTACTGACTGTCCAGGTGCAGGCGGATCCTGCATGCCCAGTATTGAAGGGATTGTTTTTTCCAATTTTGCAGGATCCTTCGCTGGATTTTTCCAGTCCCAGCTGAGCAGTTTGTCCCCCTCCCTGAGGCAAATGAAACTAGTAATTCATTAACTGGTTAATCAGCCAGATAAAGTCACACTGAGTCAAACAATGAGTAGTTAGAGCAATTTTTTAAACACTCCCCTTGTTTTAAAAACTCCAGAATTTGGGGAATTTCAAGACCAAATCAAATAATCATTTTGGTTTTTATTTAATCCCTGGCCTAGCACTGGATTCAGACTGGAGATAGGGTGTAACATTTTTTAACTGTGAGAGTAATTAACCACTGGAACGATTTACCCAGGGTCGCGGTGGAGTCTCCATCACTGGCAATTTTAAAATCACAATTGGATGTTTCTCTACAATATCTGCTCCCGGAGTTACCTGAGGGACGTTCTGTGGCTTGTGTTACGCAGGAGATCAGACTAGCTGGGTTTCTCTTCCAACCTCCAAGCCCAGGGAGCAAAGCTGCTGGTTCTGATTCTCTCCCACATCATGCTGCATATAGAAAACACAGAAGACCCCCTTATGTAAACTGAGGCAGAACCTGTGTTCCCAGCCAGGAGCCTGGCTACTGCCCTCTCAGGGACTAGGACTGCTTGCCTGTATTGTTTGCACTCTCTTTACCTCCACCATACCTTTAAAGGGAAACAGCTCCAATATGTGGGCTGGCCCTAAGCAGTAGGTTTTCCAGGGCCCTGTGCTAAAGTAACACATAGAATCATAGAATCGTAGGACTGGAAGGGACCTCGAGAGGTCGTCTAGTCCAGTCCCCTGCACTCAGGGCAGGACTAAGTATTATCTAGACCATCCCTGACAGGTGTTTGTCCAACCTGCTCTTAAAAATCTCCAGTGATGGAGATTTCACAACCTCCCTAGGCAATTTATTCCAGTGCTTAACCACGCTGACAGAAAGTTTTTCCTAATGTCCCACCTAAACCTCCCTTGCTGCAATTTAAGCCCATTGCTTCTTGTCCCTCCTTTTCCCCCCTCCTTTTTGTAACAACCCTTTATGTACTTGAAAACTGTCCCTCTCAGTTTTCTCTTCGCCAGACTAAACAAACCCAATTTTTTCAATCTTCCCTCATAGGTCATGTTTTCTAGGCCTTTAATCATTTTCGTTGCTCTTCTCTGGACTTTCTCCAATTTGTCCACATCCTTCCTGAAATATGGTGCCCAGAACTGGACACAATACTCCAGTTGAGGCCTAATCACCGCGGAGTACAGTGGAAGAATTACTTCTCGTGTCTTGCTTACAACACACCAGCTAATACATCCCAGAATGATGTTCGCTTTTTTTGCAACAGTGTTACACTGTTGACTCATATTTACCTTGTGATCAGCTACGACCCCAAGATCCCTTTCCGCAGAACTCCTTCCTAGGCAGTCATTTCCCATTTTGTATGTGTGCAACTGATTGTCCCTTCCTAAGGGGAGTACTTTGCATTTTTCCTTATTGAATTTCATCCATTCATTCATGTGGGGCTCTATCCACGTTCCATCCCATTAACACCTTCATCTCCCACTTCTCTGTGCTCACAGCACCCTCCCTGGGTGCAGGGGACCTCAGGCTGTGGAACGAATGGAGGCTGTGGTTGGGTGTCTGTGTTCTCCTTTGGGTGTAGGCCAGCTTAAGAAGAGGATTGCCAATTTGCCTAGAATCAGATGCAGCAGAGTAGAAATAAACTAAAAGTTTATTTGTAGGGCTATCGATTAATCGCAGCTAACTCATGCTATTAACTCCAAAAAATTAATCACAATTAATCGCAGTTTTAATTGCACTGTTAAACAATAGAATACCAATTGAAATTTATTAAATATTTGGGATGTTTTTCTACATTTTCATATATATTGTATTCTGTGTTGCAATTGAAATCGAAGTGCATATTATTTTTGATTACAAATATTTGCACTGTAAAAATGATAAAAGAAATAGTATTTTTCAGTTCACCTCATACAAGTACTGTAACGCACTCGCTTTGTTGTGAAATTGCAACTTACAAATGTAGATTTTTTTTTGTTACATAACTGCATTCAAAAACAAAATAATGTAAAACTTTAGTGTCTACAAGTCCACTCAGTCCTACTTCTTGTTCAGCAAATTAAGACAAACACGTTTGTTTACATTTACAGGAGATAATGCTGCCCGCTTCTTATTTACAATGTTACCAGAAAGTGAGAACAGGTGTTTGCATGGCATTTTTGTAGCCAGCATTGCAAGGTATTTATGTGCCAGATATGTTAAACATTCTTATGCCCCTTTATGCTTTGGCCCCATTCCAGAGGACATGCTTCCATGCTGATGACACTCGTTAAAAAAATAATGCGTTAATTAAATTTGTGACTGAACTCCTTGGGGGAGAATTGTATGTCCCCTGCTCTGTTTTTCCTGCATTTTGCCATATATTTCATGTTATAGCAGTCTCAGATGATGACCCAGCACAAGTTGTTCATTTTAAGAACACTTTCACTGCAGATTTCACAAAACGCAAAGAAGGTACCAATGTGAGATTTCTAAAGATAGCTACAGCACTCGACCCAAGGTTTAAGAATCTGAAGTGCCTTCTAAAATCTGAAGGGACAAGGTATGGAGCATGCTTCTAGAAGTCTTAAAGAGCTACTCTGATGCGGAAAGTACAGAACCCAAACCACCAAGAAAGAAAATCAAACTTCTGCTGGTGACATCTGATTCAGATGATGAAAATGAACATGCGCCAGGCCATGCTGCTTTGGACTGTTATCGAGCAGAACCCATCATCAGCATGGACGCATGTCCCCTGGAATGGTGGTTGAAGCATGAAGGGACATATGAATCTTTAGCGCATCTGGCACATAAATATCTTGTGATTCTGGCTACAACAGTGCCATGAGAACGCCTGTTCTCACTTTCAGGTGACATTGTAAACAAGAAGCAGGCAGCATTATCTCCCGCAAATGTAAACAAACTTGTTTGAGCGATTGGCTGAACAAGAAGTAGGACTGAGTGGACTTCCAGGCTCTAAAATTTTACATTGTTTTATTTTTCAATGCAGTTTTTATTTAAATAAATGGTTTTCTATTATTGTTTAACAGTGCGATTAATCGCAATTAATTTTTTTAAATTGCTGGACAGCCCTAATTATTTGATAGAAGAATAAGAGTCAAAGGCGAAACAGTGAGGAAAAGCAAACGCAGACAAGTCACACAGAAACCAAACATAGATACAAGCTCTGGCTTGACACTTCTATGTCAGCTACATTGTGTTTTCTACTACAAGTTATCCATTGCCTCTGAACAGTTTCCCCAGCGTGCCCCGGACCTAGAGGCGATCCAGTGTTTCGCGGACAGTGCCCCGCTTACACGCTGGCCCTCGGTTTCTGGATAAACCTGGGTACAACAAACAGACCCAAGCCTGTTTTTATCAATAAACTGATCTCCTAATGCCCATCCAATTCAGATCATTACAAGCTTTCATAACAGACGTTACTAGATATATATTTATACACAACAACACTGTATGCAACCAGTTGATTCAAT